AGTAGATTTCTCAGCAGAAACTTATAGGTCAGGAGAAAGTGGTATGATATATTTAAAATGCTGAAAGATAGAAAAATGCTAGCTAAGGATAGTCTATCCAGCAAAGTTATCCTTTAGAAATGAATGAGAAATCAAGACTTTCCCAGAAAAACAAGAGCTGAGGGAGTTTTTCACCACTAGGCTTGCCTTACAAAATATGCTAAGAGAGTATTTCAAATAGAAATGAAAAGACACTAATTAGTTACATAAAAACATACAAAAATATACAACATACTGGTAAAGGAATATATAGAATTAGACTTAGAAAACTCTAATTCTGTAATATGATGCTGTGTTAACTACTTAACTATAGTATAAAGGTTAAAGGAAAAGTGTATTAAAAATAACTATAGCTACTATAATTTTAATTAATGTACAATATAAAAAGAGGTAAATTATGACATCGTAAACGTAAAAGATGGTGAGTAAAAGGGTAGTTTTGTGTGTGATCGAAGTTAAGTTGCTACCAAGATAAAATGGACTGTTATATCTATAAGATGTTTTATGTAAGCCTCATGGTAACCACAAATCAAAAACCTATAGTAGACTCACAAAAGATAAAAAGAAGGGAATCAAAGCCCACCACTGAAAATCACCAATTGACAAAGGTAGGCGGCAAGAGAGAAAAAAGGAACAATGGAAATACAAAATAGCCAGAAAGGGCTGAGGCAGTGTCCCACATAGCACAACCAGAGGCACTCATAACTAGAATATACAACTATGTACTGAGGGGCTTTGGGGAGGAGAATAAAAAGAAAAAATAGAAGATTGGCAACAGATGTTAGCTCAGGTGTCAATCTTTAGGAAAAAAAAAAAAAAAGGACGGAGTTGCTGGAGGGATAAAAAAATGGCAAGAACAAATTATATGCTGCCGTGAGAGACTCCCTTAAGCTTTAAGGACACACATAGGTTCAAAGGGAAAGGGTGGAAAAGGATATTTCACGCAGGTGGAAACAAAAGAAACTGGAGGTAGCTATACTTATATCAGACAATATAGACTTTAAGCCAAAAACAGCAACAAGAGACAGAAAAAAATCCTTACATAATGAAAAAGGGGTCAGTTCATCAAGAAGATATAATGATCATCAATATATATGCACCCAACATTGGAGCACCTAAATATATTAGGCAAATATTGACAGATCTCAAGGGAGAAATAGACAATAATACATTAGTAGAGGAAATCATCCCACTTTCAGCAATGGATAGCTCATTCAGAGAGAAGATCAACAAAGAAACATTGGCCTCAAACCATACATTATCCCAATTGCACCTAACAGACATAGATAGAACATTCCATCCAACAGTAGCAGAATACACATTCTTCTCAAGTGAATACAAAACATTCTCCAGGATAGGTCACATAATAGGCCACAAAACAAGTCTTAGCAAATTTAATAAGTTTGAAATTATAACAAGTGTCTTTTCCAACCACAGTGCTTAAAACTAGAAATCAACATGAGGGAACCTGGAAAATTTACAAACGTGGAGATGAAGCAACACATTCCTGAATGACTAATGGGTTAAAGGAGAAATCAAAAGATATCACAAAACAAAAGAATATGAAAATGTAACATACCAAAACCTATGGAATGCTGCAAAAGCAGTCCTTAGAGGGACATTTATAGTAATAAATCCACACATTAAGAAAAAAATATTGTGGGACTGACCCCATGGCCTATTGGTTAAGTTCAGCATGCTGTGCTTTGGCAGCCCAGGTTTACAGGTTTGGATCCTGAGTGTGGACCTACACCACTCATCAGCCACAGATGTTAGCTCAGGGCTAATCGTCCTCAGCAAAGAAAAAAAAAAAAGAAAATGAAAAATAAAAAAAATATCAAATAAAGAAGCTCACTTTACATCTCAAGGAACTGAAAAGAAAAACACACTAAGCCCAAAGTTAGTAGAAGGAAATTACAAAGATCATAGTAGAAACAAACAAAAGACCAGAAAACAATAGAAAAGTTCTTTGACATTAAGAGCTATTTTTTTGAAAAGACAAACAAAATTGACAAACTTTTATCTAGACTAGGGGAAAAAAAGAAGACTAAATAAATAAAATCAGAAATGAAAGAAGAGACATTACAACTGATTCCACAGAAATACATAGGATCATGAGACTAGCACAAGCAATTATATGCCAACAAACCTGATAACCTAGAAGAAATGGGTAAGTTCCTAGAAATATACAACCTACCAAGATTGAATCAGGAAAAAATAGAAAACCTGAACTGACCAATAATAAGTAAGGAGATTGAATCAGTAATCAAAAATTTTCCAACAAAGAAAAGCCCAGGACCAGATGGTTCTACCACTGAATTCTGCCAAACATTTAAAGAAGAATTAACACCAATCCTTCTCAAACTCTTCCAAAAAATTGAAGAGGAGGAACACTCCCAAAGCCTACATTGCTCTGACACCAAAGCCAGGTAAGGACATTATCAGAAAAGAAAACTATAAACCAATATCTCTATTAATACAGAAACAAAGTTCTCAACAAAATATTAGAAACTGAACTCTACAACACAATGAAAGAATCATATACCATGATCAAGTGGGTTTTATCCCTGGGATGCAAGGATGTTCAACATACCCAAATAATAAATGTGATACAACAAATTAATAAAATTAAAGGTTACCATTTCGATAGATACAGACAAAAGCATTTGACAAAATACAACATCTTTTTATGTTAAACACCCTCAACAAATTTGGGTTGGAAGGAATGTACCTCAACATAATAAATGCCATATACAGCAAACCTGCAACTAACTTCACACTCAAGGAAGTTGCCTATGCAGCGAGACCTGGGTTCCATAATTGAAGGAAGCTTAAAAGTACAGTTAATTTGGAAAAGAGAAAGAACCCCTCTTTGGAATAAAGCAAATAATTCATAGTTGTTGACCCAGAAAAGTATGAATTTCAAATTCAAACAAATATACAAATGAATTATTTTCAATATTTAAGCAAACTAACAAGATTTGAAATGCAAATCCTGAATGATAAAGTGTTCCAGACTAGAAAGCCTTAGAAAACTAAAATTCTGCTCTTTATGGGATTCCAATCTAATTAAGCAAGCCATCCATGACCATTTTATATTATAGCTGGTTACAGGACATGTTCAAACCACAGGGGCCATCCCACCATCTCGTGAGATATGAGAAGGGGATAAAGATGATGATGTCTCTTTCTCCTTGGCTTATGGTCGCAGGAATCAAGTGGGTGAAGAGAGTAGTCCCTTAGAGCATTAGGGAAAGCAATGGATTGTCTTTCTCTACCCTATCTTGACTCACTTTGTATAAGCTGAGCAAAAGGAGAAGGCAGGGTTAAAATGTCTCATTGTAGTTCTTGCTGTGATCTTTGAATCTTTAAAGGGTCAGTTCTAGTTGATCAGTTTCTCGGCTAATGGAGGGATAGCAATTCCATTTCTTATTTAAGTCAGCTTTGAGTAAAAAGGAGTTTCCCTAAAGAGGGAGATTTTTCTTGCCCTTGAGGCATCTCAGAATCCCTATTACAAATTCTAGGCACCCCAAGTATCACTTTTAGACAATGCAGTTTTCATCACTGGATGAGTGGAACGTCAGGGAGCGATATCCAGAAAGAATTTTGAAGGAAGTTTGCTCTATACTGTGACAAAACTTTTCCACGTTTTGTTGCTTTATGAAGACATTTGGTAAAAATATTATTTTTAAAAAGGCTTTGAATCTTAGAATTGAATTTCTTTTGGATATGTCCAGTGTACAGAGACTGACCCTAGTTAGCCAATTTCCATTCAGGTTCCATATTTAAAGAAACCTAGAAAAGCTAGAGAGTTTTCGTGTAACGTACACACTTTATGTCAAAAGAATAAAGCAGTTTGCAGCTACCACTTTTAATAACAGACTTCATTTCCTGGCTGGGTATCTGAACGCAGAGGTTTGGGTTTGCAGAATAGTAAAGTAGATACAGTGTAGTGTTGGCTGAGCCATTTTACTGTGGCTTCTGGTAGCGGTGGAAAGTTCTGTCTGTTCAAGATGAAACCAGATGCCAGATTCCATTCTTCCAACAGACGGAACTCAGGTTCTCTCCCTTGCTTTGGGGATCACCTCTCTAATGGGTCTCTAACAGTGTCCCCTTATCCAGTTAGAAAGAGGCTTTTCAGACAGTCTGAAGTGAAAAAGTAAAATGAGAAGTAAGCCTAAGGCTACCCAGGATGTTACAAGGCCAGAGTAACAGAAGATTCAGTGCTCTTCAGGTAAGGATTCCCCTGCCACCTTCAGAGTCTGATAGTTTTCCTGGGCCCTGTCTGGATGCATTTCTTACTCTGGATACTTAATAACCATGGTTACCATTCCAGGCCACCTCTAATTCCATTCCAATTTAACCCATCTCCCCTACTGACTCCACAGGAGAGTTTGGACCTCTGAGGGGAACACATAGTCTACTGTATTTTTGGTACCTTCCTCCTTAAAGATACTAACACTGGATTTTGTCAAAGATTGAAGAGTGTCTGGGAGGGTAGAATCCCTCACAACTCCTCGTTCTTCCTCACCCACTGTTGTCCTTTCATCTCTTTCCAGTTGTAGTGATTGGCTGGAAAGGCAGTAGTGTCATTTTAGGCCAAAACTTAATCATTATTTCCTCAGCCCTGTACCAGATCAGCAATTGGCTATTTTTCAGCTACAGCCCCACCATCTCAGAATCACTAGAGAGTCCAAGCTGTGTTCAGCATTGAAGTTGAAAAAAATTGCTCGACAACCAGAATTGACCCTACTCTGCCACCATACCCCTCATCCTTAGCAGCAATAGGCAGAACTCACACACGCATGCATCTGTATATGGGTTGATGATGTTGAACAGTTAGGCAGACATTCAGCAGCATCACAGTAGTCAGTAGGACAACCAGCACCACAACAGAAGTTGCTAGATTTGCCTGTCATGCTTCCATAAGGTTGGCTGGTAAAGAAAACAGTAAGTCCAAATGGATTTAGATAGTTTATTATTTACCCATACAGCAAAGCAAGATCAGCATGCTATCAACTCCTAGTCCCACAGAATGACACTCAACCAGAGGGGCCAGATGGTGGATAGCAGAGGTGATGGGCCACTCTGCTGCTAAGGAGCCAACCCTAAAACATAGCCAGGTGGTCTTATAGCTTTTAGCTGAACCCTAAAGAGACTGAGGTGGAAAGTCCCATGTTTCATTCCCTGAAAACAGAGAGGTGGATGAGAACCCGCCTCATGGCAACCCATCACAGGATGGCCTTTCTCCTTGTGTTTCAAGAAGAACTGCAGGGTCAGACTCTGCCAAGACTTAGGCCAGCCTGCAGTTAAGACTTGCCCGTGTGGTCTGTGTGAAAGACATATGGGGTCCTCAGCGGGCCAGGGCAGATCTGTTTCTCTACGGATGGAAGATTCAAAGAAAAGGTGAATGGGGAGCTGGAGGAACAGTAGGGTAAAGCCTACATGTAGAAAAATGTTTCTGTTTGAAGCCTCTATAAATAATTAAGACATCCTTTCTATGAGTAAAGAGAGAAATAGGCATTGAGGAGACCGTAGATATTGCTTTGAAGTGAGAAAATATATTCTAAGTTGTTTTCAAGAGAAGCTTAGCTGTCTTTAGGAAGGCTGCAGCTTGGCTTTTGAAATCCAAGATCATAAGATTCTGATGACTTATAAAAAAATTTCTAAAAACCAACAGCCGTGGGCGTATCAGTGTTACAGTTTAATCTGAATTCCCGGGCTGTGTGAAAGATAGGGAGGGTCAAGGAGTTTCAAGTTAATTGTCATTCACTGGCTTCTCTTGTCAGGGCTCAGGGTTTCCTTTGATACAGCACTCCAGCTGAAACATACAGTGGGCGACTAACATTTCACTTCCGTAGCACTCAAGTCTGCAGGTACCATTTCCACGGCATTTCTTGTGTATTTCTGATGACAATACATTCAAGCCTGGAAAGAAAATGAATGGAAATATAACTAACTATAGGCCTTTATGAACTATAGAATGACTAGTCCCTCCAATTTTACCAAACTAAAGTCCAAGGAGACTTGATCATAGTGATTGATCTTGTAATTAAAAAAAAAATTAGCTAGTGTTATGCATTGAATTGTGTTCCCCCTGGCCAAATCCATATATTGAAATCTTAACTCACTACGTGACTGTATTTGGACATAGGGACTTTAGGAGGTAATTAAAGTTAAATGAGTTAATAAGAGTGGGGCCCCAATCCAATAGGATTGGTGAAGGACACAGAGAGAAGATGGCTGCCCACAAGCCAGAAAGATAGCTCTCGTCAGAAACTAAATTGGCTTGCAGTTGATCTTGGACCTTCCAGCCTCCAGACCTGTGAGAAAATCAATTTTGTTGAAGTCACACAGTCTGTGGTATTTTGTTATGGTGAGCTGAGGTGACTAAGTCAATTAGTGACTTGGAAGTATGCCCAAATTGGTCAGCTAATATACTCTAAACAATCAAGTAACCTATGCAAGTAGTCATTCACTCATCATTTAATTATTTATTTATCCCAAGCCAGTTTTTATAAATCCAGGTACTGTTGAATTGAGTATGATATAGACCTTAATCTTAAAGAATTTTCAGTCTAGAAAAAAAGATATGTGAAAGTTATCAGGCATTTGAGCTGAGCTTACAATTTTGTAGATATGCTGCTCTGTAGAAACATCAAAATCTGAATGTTTCCTTGTTTGCATATGTAAGAGGGTGCTAAAAGGAAAAGATTGCCTATATTTGACTATCTGTAGAAATTTGGAGCCAACACACTACCCTATGTCCTACCAAGTCATCATGCCTTGGAGGATAATTGTCCCATAAGAACAAAAGAAAAGACGAAATGTAATGCTCTACATGACAAGAAATTCCTATGGAAACGGCAAGCTTTGGGAGTGTATAGGGCAATAAAAGAAATATTGTAGACTGTAGGCAGTTGTTGACTGTCTAGAAGTGATGAAGCCTTTGCTGTAAACCATAATGGAACTGGTCCCATCAACAGCTTCAAGAGGCCTGGATGCTACGGATTCTTAAATCTAGCCTATTGAGTCACATGATCTGAAAATCTGGTTCATCTGCCTGGAGAATACTTCAGGGAGTATGAAAAATTAAATGGGATCCTATAACATATGGATTTGAACTGATTAACTCTGAGTAAAGAAAATATTCAAGATGAGATTTCTAAAGTCAGTAATGGATATGGTCAAGCTAGAGTATGAAGCCAGTCAGTGCTCTCTCTCATGTCTCTCTAGCTGCTACCTCATCTGATCAGACATTTCTAGTGTCACATAAAACTCATTAATTCTCTTGGAACAAACAGTTCTGAATCTATTTCTCCATTTACCAAAGGAATCTATAAATAGTAAATTAACTATAAACAATTTCAGTATATTAGAAAGCTTAACAAATTGTGTATCAGTCTGCTGATTTTGACTATTATGACTAGATATGTTCCTGAATTATAGACAAAACAATATTCGCAAAAGAAGATGGGGTATTGCTAATGAAAAATAATGATAACTATCATGAGTCAGGTACTGTACATATTATTTGTATACATATTCTATACATTATCCCATTTAATCCTTACAAGACTCTGAGGTTAGTTATTATTTCCATTTTGTAAATGAAGAAACCAAGGTTCAGAGAAGCTCAGACTTTTGTCTAAAGCTATTTGTCTAAACAGCTAACAAGTTGGAGAGCTAAGATTCAAGCTCAGGTCTTGTTGACATCGAAGCTGCTTGATGGTTTTCCACTTTGAAAATTAAAGTGTCCATGGTGGGAGGACATTCACAAGTTTGCTTAGTGGAGTTGCTCTTCTAGACAAAGGACCCCCCAAGGAAGATTTCCATTTTACCTTCCAGTGTTGAGTCCCAAAAGAAGAGAAAGACAAACACAATGAGGAGAAGCTTCATGGCTAGGAGCTTCTGTTGAGGAGGCTGGTGGCACGGTCTGACACTGGCTGTCAGAGAGCAAAAAGGGAAGGGTGGGCATACCCTTCTGTACAAACCTTTCAGGTCTGTGGTATACCCTGCTCCAGGTATATATCTTACACTGATACACCCTGGGGCAGCTGAGTCAGTGATGCTTATATGAGGAAAGAACTGACAGCCCTTTCTGGTTTGACAGCTTTTCCTATTGGCAAGGGTGCTGTACTCCCACCTGGAGTTTCAAAAAGTACTACAGGAGACCTGAGAATTATATGTTTTTTTATTTTCTAAAAAAATAAAATTTATTTTGTCTGGTTTTTATGTTACAACAAAAATTAAATGCTGAATTTAAAAAATTTGTAAAATATTAAAAATTACAAGGAAAGAAAAGTTACACTTAAGCCCCACCTCTCAGAGACAACCTGTGTGTTTCTTTAAAAAGTTTTATTCATGCCTAGTTTATTGTTTAATATTTTGTTTTACATAGTTATAAACTTAATATACTTGTAATTAGGTATTCTGCTTTTGTAATATGATATGTGCCATAAGTATTTTCCGTGTCATTATAAACTCTTTATAAATGGTATTTTTAAAAGCTGCACAATATTCTATCAAGGTCATATTTTATAACCATCACTATCTTAAAAACACCTGAGATAAAAGTGGCATAAAAAACTGCAAATATTAAAGCATATAATTTGATAAGATGTGACATATATATACTTTTGCAAAACCATCAGAATGTTGAAGATAGTGAGCATATATGTCCCCCCAACCATTCTTCATGACCTTTTCCTCCCCAGCTTTGTTGATGTATAATTAACAAATAAAAATTGTGTATATTTAAGGAGTAAAAGGTGATGATTTAAAGTACATGTAAATTGTGAAATGATTACCACAATCAAGCTAGTTAACACATCCATCACCTCAAATAGTTACCTTTTGTTTTGGTGATGAGAATACTACTCCCTCAGCAAATTTTGAGTATACAATACAGTATTTCTAACTAAGTCACCATTGCTGTACGTTGGATCCTCAGAACTTATTCATCTTATAACTGAAAGTTTTTTCCCTGTGACCAGTATTTCCCCATTTCCCCCACCTTCTAAGCCCTGGCAACCACCATTTTACTTCCCCATTCTGAGTTTGACTTTTTTGAGATATCACATATAAGTGAGATTATACAGTATTTGTCTATGTGTGGCTTTTTTGACTTTGCATAATGTTCTCCAGGTTCATTCATGTTGTTGCAAATAGCAGAATTTCTTCCTTTTTAGTGGCTGAATAATATTCCATTCTATATGTGTATCACATTTTCTCTATCCATTTAGCATTGGTGGTCACTGAAATTGTTTCCATATCTTGGCTATTGTAAATAACGTGCAGATAGCTCTTTGAGATACTGATTTAGTTTTTATTGGATAATACCCAGAAATGGGATTGTGGATGACATTGCAGCTCTAATTTTAATTTTTCAAGGAACTCCATACTGTTTTTCATAATGGCTGTACCAATTTACATTCACACAAAGAGTGCTCAAGTGTTCCTTTTTCTCCGTATCCTCACCAACGTTTGCTATCTCTTGTTTCTTTTGTAATAGCCATCCCAACAGGTGTGAAGTAATATCACCTTGGGTTTTGATTTGCATTTCCCTGATGATTAGCGATGTTGAGGACCTTTTTGTCTACGTGTTGGCCGGTTGTATGTCTTCTTTGGAAAATTATATATTCAGGTCCTTTGCCCATTTTTAGTTAGTTTGTTATCTTGCTATTGAGTTGTATGAGTTCCTTACATAATTTGAATATTAATTTCTTAAAAGATATATGACTTGCCAACATTTTCTACCATTCTGTAGGTTGCCATTTCATTTTGCTGATAGTTCCCTTTGCTGTGCAGAAGCTCTTTAGTGTGATGTAGTCTGACTTATTTATTTTTGCTTTTGTTACCTGTGCTTTCCGTGTTATATCCACAAATCATTGCCAAGATCAATGCCAGGGAGCTTTTTCCCCATGTTTTCTCCTAAGAGTTTTATTCTTTCAAGTCTGACATTTAAATCTTTAATGCATTTTGAGTTAATTATTAATTGTAAGATAAAGGTCTAATTTCATTCCTTTGCATGTGGATATCCAGTTTTCCCAACATCATTTATTAAATAGACTGTAGTTTTCCCATTGTGTGTTTTTGGTATCCTTGTCAAATATTAGTTGACTATATGTGTGTGGGCTTAACTCTGGGCTCTTTATTCTGTTTCATTGTATGGGCCTGTTTTTATGCCAGTTCCATATTGTTTTGATTACTATAGCTTTATAATATTGTTTGAAGTTAGGAGTGTGATGCCACCATTTTTGTTCTTTGTCAAGATTGCTGTGGCTATTCACAGTCTTTTATGATTTTATAGGAGATTTAGGATTGGTTTTTCTATTTCTGTGAAAAATGTAATTGGAATTTTATTAGGGATTGCATTGAGTCTGTAGATTGCTTTGGATAGTACGGACCTTTTAACAATACTAATACTTCCAATACAAAAGCACAGAATTTCTATTTTTATCTTCATTAAATTTTCATCAAAGTTTTAGAATTTTCAGTGTAAATATCTTTTACTTCCTGTTTAAGTGTATTCCTAAGTATTTCATTCTTTTCATGCTATTGTAAATGGGATTTTCTTAATTTCTTTTTCAGATAGATTGTTGTTAGTATTTTGAAAAGCAGCTGATTTTAGTATGTTGATTTTGAATCCTACAACTTTATTAAATTCATTTATTAGTTCCATTAGTTTTTTGGTGGAGTCTTCAGTGTTTTCTATACATAAGCTAGTGTCATCTGCAAACAAGAAAAATTTTATGTCTATTTTCTGATTTGGATGACTCTTATTCCCTTTTCTTGTGTAACTGCTATGGCTCTGACGTCCAGTACTATGTTGAATAGAAGTGGTGAGAACGGGCAACTTTCCATCCCCCAATCTTAGAAGAAAAGCTCTTTGGCACTGGCCATGCTGTTAGATGTAGGCTTGTCTTATATGGCCTCTCTTACATTGAGGAACATTCCTTCTATATCTAATTTGTTATGAGTTTTTATCATGAAAGGATGCTTAATTTTTCAAAAGCTTTTTCTCTGCCTTTTGGAATGATCATATGATTTTTATCCTTCATTCTGTTAATGTGGTATATCACAGTTATAGATTTGTATATGTTCAACATCATTGCATCATACGGGTGAATTCCACTTGATTATGATATATTATCATTTTGATATGCTCTTGAAGTCAGTTTGCTAATATTTTGTTGAGGATTTTTGCATTTTTTTCATAAGGGATATTGGCCTGTAATTTTATTTTCTTGTTGTTGTAGTCTCCAATGTTGTTGGAACTTTGATAGGGATTGCATTGAATCTATAGATTACTTTAGGAAGTATAGACACTTTAACTGTGTTAAATCTTCCAATCCAAGAGCACAGAATATCATTTCATTTCTTTGTCTTCTTCATTTTCTTTCAATGCTGTTTTATAATTTTCAGTGTACAGATCTTTCACGTCTTTGGTTAAGTTTATTCCTAGGTATTTTATTCTTTTTGTTGCAACTGTAAATGGAATTGTAGTCTTAATTTCTCTTTCTGCTACTTCGTTGTTAGTTTATAGAAACACAACTGATTCTTGTATGTTGATTTTGTATCCTGCAACTTGACCGCATTCATTTATTATTTCTAAAAGTTTTTTGTGGATTCTTTAGGGGTTTCTACATATAAACTCATGTCATCTGCAAAGAGTGACAGGATCGTTTCTTCTTTTCCAGTTTGGATCTCTTTTGTTTCCTTTTCTTGCCTGGCTTCTCTGGCTAGGACTTCCAATACTATGCCAAAAAAGAGTGGCGAAAGTGAGCATCCTTGTCTGGTTCCTGTTCTTAGAGGAGTAGCTTTCAGTTTTTCTCCATTGAGAATGAGATTAGCTGTGGGTTTGTCATATACGGCCTTTATTATGTTGAGATATTTTCCTTCTATACCCATTTTATTTAGAGTTTTTATCATAAATGGATGCTGTATCTTGTCAAATGCTTTCTCTGCATCTATTGAGATGATCACGTGATTTTTATTCTCCATTTTGTTAATGTGGTGTATCACGTTAATTGATTTGCAGATGTTGAACAACCCTGCATCCCTGGAATAAAATCCATTTGATCATGATGTATGATCTTTTTACTGTATTGTCGGATTTGATTTGCTAGTATTTTGTTGAGGATTTTTACATCAATCTTTATCAGTGATATTGACCTGTAGTTTTATTTTTTTGTGTTGTCCTTGTCTGTCTGGTTTTGGTATCAGCATAATTCTGGCTTTGTAGAATGAGTTAGGAAGCCTCCCCTCCTCTTCAATATTTTGGAAGAGTTTGAGAAGGATAGGCATTAAGTCTTCTTTGAATGTTTGGTAGAATTCTCCAGGGAAGCCATCTGGCCCTGGATTTTTATTTTTTGGGAGGTTTTTGATTGCTGTTTTGATCTTCTTACTGATGATTGTTCTATTCAAATCCTCTACTTCTTCTTGATCCAGTTTTGGAAGGTTATATGATTCTAAGAATTTATCCATTTCTTCTAGATTATCCAATTGGTTGGCGTATAGCTTTTCATAATATTCCCTTATAATCTTTTGTATTTCTGAGTCTGTTGTAATTTCTCCTCTTTCGTTTCTGATTTTATTTATTTGAGTCTTCTCTTTTTTTTTCTACATGAGTCTAGCTGAAGATCTGTCAATTTTGTTTAGCTTTTCAGAGAACCAGCTATTGGTTTCATTAATTTTTTCTATTTTTTTTTTAGTCTTTGTTTCATTTATTTCTGCTTTGATTTTTATTATTTCCTTCCTCCTGCTGATTTGGGGCTTTGTTTGTTCTTCTTTTCCCAGGTCCTTTAGGTGCAGTGTCACATTGTTTATTTGGGATTTTTCTTGTTTGTTGAGGTAGGCCTGAATTGCTATAAACTTTCATCTTAGAACCGCCTTTGCTGTATCCCATAGATTTTGGCACATGTGGTATTTTCATTTTCATTTGCCTCCAGGTATTTTTTGATTTCTCCTTTGATTT